TTGATATGTTTAGCATGAGGTAATAAGTAAATACTGATAATGCATTTTCAAGGATTAAAAAAAACACAAAGTAAGAAAACTAGTGTGACCAGTAAATTTGGTCAGAACAAGGCCTTCAATATTTAGTTCTCACCCATTTCCGATCACTTCAGGATGAACTAGAGTATGCCCTTACAGGGACCAGTGTCATTCAAGGATATCACTGTGGACTTCACGGCGGAGGAGTGGCAGCAGCTGGACCATGCACAGAAAGCCCTCTATAGGGATGTGATGTTGGAAAATTATTGCCACTTCATATCTGTGGGTAAGGAAACACTCCTTGAATCTATCAGTGTCATATATATCCTAAGAGATACAGTGATTCCTAAAACATACAGAACTTTCAGAGATGAGAGGTAAAAGATCTCTTTTTATTAACAAAATATAATTATATCCTTTCTTGTCTATTACAGAGTACTGACTCTGGTAAGATGTTACTGTGTATGACATCTGCCATCTTGAAATTGTGTGTGTGTGGGGCTGGGAAGGTAGCTCAGCGTTAGAGTGCTTGTCTTGCAAGCATGAGGCCCTGGGTTCGATTCCTCAGCACCACATAAACAGAAAAAGCCGGAAGTGGTGCTGTGGCTCCAGTGGTAGAGCACTAGCCTTGAGCTGAAGAGCTGAGGGACAGCGCCGAGGCCCAGAGTTCAGGCCCCATGACCGGCAAAAAAAAAAAAAAGAAATTGTGTGTGTGTGTGTGAATACATGTGTATGTGAATGAACTCAGGGCCTGGGCACTGTACCTTAACATTTTCTTTCAAGACTGGCACTTTACCAATTGAGTCACAGCTCTACTTCTGGCTTTTTGCTGGTTAATTGGACCTAAGAATCTCATGGACTTTCCTGTCTGGGCTAGCTTGGAACCACAATCCTCAGATCTCGGCCTCCTTTGAAACCATATTTTTCTCTTCAACAGTTTGAAGGCCATACAGCTTAAATCAAATCTGATTTTTCGTTGTCAGGATTTCATATAACTAAGCCCGATATGATCCGCAAGTTGGAACAAGGAGGAGAGCTGTGGACACAGAGAATTTTTCCAAGTCAGAACTATGGAGGTGAGTCTGTACAGATAAAATTCCAGTGGAATAAACTCTCAGGTAATTGGCACCTTTGAATGCTTTTACAGATCTCCTGAGGTTTTTTTTTTTTTTTTTTAATCATTAGTAAAGTTTGAACTAGGCATTTGTGGGCGCCTTTCTGATGTGTCCTAAAAGGAGCTTTGTCAGTCTCAGTTCTTGTACTGAGAACCACAATAATCTGATCCCTTTTTTTTTTTCTCCTCTCTTTTTTTGTGGGTCATGGGGCTTGAACTGTGGGCCTGGGCGCTGTCCTTGAGCTCTACAGCTCAAGGCTAACGCTCTACCACGTGAGCCACAGTGCCACTTCCAGCTTTTTCTGTTTATGAGGTGCTGAGGAATTGAACCCAGGGCATGCGAGGTAAGCACTCTACCATTGAGCTACCTTCTCCACCCCTGATCCATTCTTTAGTTGTAATTACAACTTGCTTTGTGTGAAGCATAAATGCAAGTAGACAATTCAGCCCATTTATCCCACTCTACTAGCTTATAAGAATTGCCAGGTGGGGCTGGGAAGGTGGTTCAGTGGTAGAGCGCTTGCCTTGCATGCCTGAGGCCCTGGGTTCGATTCCCCAGCACCACATAAGCAAAAAAAAGCCAGAAGTGGTGCTGTGGCTCAAGTGGTAGAGCGCTAGCCTTTAGCTGAAGAGCTGAGGGACAGCGCCCAGGCCCAGAGTTCAGGCCCTTGACTGGACCCCCCCCCCAAAAAAAAAGAATTGCCAGGCATGGTGGCTCACACTTATAGTACTAGCTATTCAGAAAGAAGATTGATGTTCTAGGCCAGCACAGGCAAAATATTCATGAGGCCACTCCTACCCTCCATTATACGATAAAAATCTTAGTATATAGTACATATCTGTTATTCTAGCTATGGTGGGTAGCTTAAATAGGAAGATCAAGGTCCAGATTGTCCTGGATAAAAAGGGGCTGAGAGCATTGTTTAAGTGCTGGAGTACCTGCTTGGAAAGCTAAGTCCTACGTCCTGAGTTTAAACCCCAATACCACTGGAAAATAAAAAGATCTTTACTCATTTGCTTTTTATTCTTTCATTCTCATAATCTTTTTTTTTTTTTTTTGACATGGGGCTTGGCCTCTGGGCCTTGGCGCTGTCCCTGAGCTCTTCTGTTCAAGGCAAGCACTCTACCACTTGAGCCATAGCACCACTTCTGGTTTTCTGATGGTTAATTGGAGATAAGAGTCTCATGGACTTTATTGCCTGGGCTGGCTTTAAACTGTGATCCTCAGATCTCAGCCTCCTGAGTGGCTAGGATTACAGGTGTGAGCCACCAGCACCCAGCTTGCTATTTATTTGATCAAATGGCATTGTAATCAGTTTTGTTCCTTACTACCAAATTTTTAAAATTTTTATTTTACTTTATTGTAAGGGTGATGTCAGAGGGGTTACAGTTACATAAGTAAGGTAATGAGCACTTTTTCTTTCTTTCTTTTTTTTTTTTTGTCAAGTCTTGGAGGCTGAACTCTGGGCCTGGGCACTGTCCCTCAGCTCTCCAGCTCAAGGCTAGCGCCCTACCACTTGAGCCATAGCACCACTTCTTTTTTCTGCTTATGTGGTGCTGAGGAATTGAACCCAGGGCCTCATGTATGCAAGGCAAGCACTCTACCACCGAGCCAATTTCCCAGTCCATGACTACATTTCTTATAGAACATTGTTATCTCTTCCCCTACCAGAAGTTTTATCATGTGACAAATTCAACATGTTACTTACAGATCCCAGTTCTGTTAGCTAGCTAAGAAGCTAAAGGGTGCAGTAATCCACACAGATCTCTAACTTCTCACACCGTATAAGAGTTCAGGACCAACCATAGGTTCCATAACTTAAATGAACCCACCATTGCTGCTGTGGCCACAGTTGCTGATTACTATAGAGAAAGGTAAAAATCAGCCAAGAGAAAAAGCACATGAGGCAGAGTTCAGGGAAGTGTCACACATGCTGCTTCTATGCATTTTCTGGGAAGGTTGGAGCTAGCGTTGCTTTTCTGGGAACAGTGAGTATGAGGTACAGCAAGCAGGGAAGCACACATGTATAGGTTTTCACCTCAGCCTAATAGTTATACTTGTTACAATGCTCCCTTCTAGTACCCTTTAGTGGTTTACTTCATTATCTGATTCTTTTTTTTTTTTTGGTCCAGTTGTGGGGCCTGAACTCTGGGCCTGGGCGCTGTCCCTCAGCTCTTCAGCTCAAGGCTAGCACTCTACCACTTGAGCCACAGCGCCACTTCCGGCTTTTTTTTTTCTTTTTGCTTATATGGTACTGAGGAATCGAACCCAGGGCCTCAGGCACGCAAGGCAAGCGCTCTACCACTGAGCCAACTTCCCAGCCCCATTATCTGATTCTTATTCCAAGAAAAATCCCTCTTCCACCATTTGTCTCCTGCTCATGTATCCCTGCATTACCCTCTGTATGCAGTTTAGTTACAACATACCAAGTTTTCTTTTTCTTTTTCTTTTTTTTTTGGGGTCCGGTCGTGGGGCCTGAACTCTGGGCCTGGGTGCTGTCCCTCAGCTCTTCAGCTCAAAGCAAGCGCTCTACCACTTGAGCCACAGCGCCACTTCCGGTTTTCGAGTGGTTTATTGGAGATAAGTGTCTCACGAACTTTCCTGCCCAGGCTGGCTTTGAACTGCGATCCTCAGATCTCAGCCTCCTGAGTAGCTAGGATTAAAGGCATGAGCCACCAGTGCCCGGCTTGACAGCCAAGTTTTCTTTCTTTTTTTTTGGGGGGGGGGTCCGGTCGTGGGGCCTGAACTCTGGGCTTGGGTGCTGTCCCTCAGCTCTTCAGCTCAAGGCTACTACCACTTGAGCCACAGCGCCACTTCTGGCTTTTTTCTTTTTGCTTATGTGGTGCTGAGGAATCGAACCCAGGGCCTCAGGCATGCAAGGCAAGCATTGTACCAATGAGCCACCTTCCCAGCCCGACAGCCAAGTTTTCTTATGCTATTTTTCCTCATTTGAATGGTAGCAGGAATTGTGTTTATGGATTTAAATTTTTTTTTTTAATTTTCATTTATGTGGTACTGAGGAATTGAACCCAGGGCCTCATGCATTCTAGGCAAACACTTTCCCACTAAGCCATATTTCTAACCTGTGTTTATGTTTTGTACCTTTTCCAGATCAAAAGGTAATGCATTCTATTCTTTTCCTACACTACAACATCAAGACAGGGAGTTCTTGGCATATACATCCAATCCATAGCCTAACATAAAAGTTTATAGTAATCTTAATTGTATCTTTTTCCCTAGAAGATGAGAATGCTGAAGATGTTTTAGTGGAGCTCAAAAAATATCAAGACAAACATTCCAGATCTATTGTATTTATCAATCACAAAAAAATAATTAAAGAGAGAAATATTTATGGAAAAGGCCTCTGTCTAAGCAAGAACCACATTACTTCAAAAGCGCTCTGTGACTATAAACCTGATAGAAAATTTTTGAAAAACATTTCAGAGTTTATTAGAAATCTAAACCCTGTAAGAGAGAAGCTTGGTGAGAGTAACGGATGGGAGAAATCAGTCCTCAGTACCAAACACGAGAAAGTTCATCGCACAGTGAATCTCCACAAATCAACAGAGAAGGACTTCAGTGGAAAGCAGGAGATTGCTCAACATCAAAAGGTGCGAACTGCAGAGCCACCATTTGAATGTAATGAATGTAACAAATCCTTCTTCATGAAAAGAATGTTGTTTGCACACATAAGAGTTCATCAAGGAGAAAGAACCTCTGAGTACAATAAAGATGGAATTGCCTTCCTGGAAAAGTCAGATCTGAGTGGCCATTTGCATCATCTTATAGAAAAGAAGTCCTCTCCATACAACAAATTGCTCTGTAGGAAGTCTGGCTTTCTTGTACAACAGAGGTCTCAAACAGAAGATAAACCTTTTCAATGTCCTTACTGTGGGAACAGCTTTAGAAGGAAGTCATACCTCATTGAACATCAGCGTATTCACACAGGCGAAAAACCCTATGTTTGCAATCAGTGTGAAAAGGCTTTCCGACAGAAGACAGCCCTCACTCTTCATGAGAAGACCCACATAGAGGGGAAACCCTATGTTTGCATTGATTGTGGGAAGTCGTTCCGTCAGAAGGCAACCCTCACGAGACATCACAAAACACATACAGGGGAAAAAGCCTATGAATGTAGTCAGTGTGGAAGTGCCTTTAGGAAGAAGTCCTATCTTGTCGATCACCAGCGAACTCACACTGGGGAGAAACCCTATCAGTGTAATGAGTGTGGCAAGGCATTTATCCAAAAAACAACCCTCACTGTACATCAGAGAACGCACACTGGGGAGAAACCCTATATTTGTAATGACTGTGGGAAGTCCTTCTGCCAAAAAACAACCCTCACTCTCCATCAGAGGATTCACACAGGGGAGAAACCCTACATTTGTAATGAGTGTGGGAAGTCCTTCCGCCAGAAGGCAATCCTTACAGTTCACCACAGAATACACACAGGAGAAAAGTCCAATGGATGTACTCAATGTGGGAAAGCCTTCAGTAGGAAATCAAACCTTATTCGACATCAGAAAACTCACACAGGAGAGAAACCATATGAATGTAAAGAATGTGGGAAGTTCTTCAGTTGTAAGTCAAATCTCATTGTCCACCAGAAAACTCACAAGGTACAAAGCGTCAGGATTCAGTAAATCATGACACTTTTGTAAAAACAAAAAAAACCATTTTACATCATAATGAAACCTGTACCTGCTGCTGCTTGCAAGTATCATAATATTCAGTGGCTTAAAATACTGTACCACATATTTACTGCTTGCTAATTTGTAAAACATCTATATGCACAAACACTTCTTGATAAAAGACAAAACACTTAGGAAATAAAAGCCTAATATTTAACCGTTAAATTGCTACAAATACATAAAATTGTTTTTACTTTTAGTGCATAGCTTTTGGTGGACTATAACAAGCAGCTGGCCAACTGCTTGAGATCCATGGACACACTGAAGAAAGGAAATGGGAACTTGTACTTCTCTTTACAAATGTCTCTTTACAAACTTAGTTGTGGAAGTGGTGCTGTAGCTCAAGTGGTAGAGCACTAGCCTTGAGCTGAAGAGCTGAGGGACAGCACCCAGGCCGAGTTCAAGCCCCATGACCGGCAAAAAAAATTGTTAATCCTCAAAATGAACACAATTTTGACCTATTAGTTTTATATAACCATTATGTAAATTTTACAATGATGTATTAAGTGTTCTTTCATAATAGGTGTCATTCATTGTGATATGTTTAACTGTGAATGCATGTGCCAGAAGTTCATTTATTTTCATCTGGTATAGTATTTATAATCAAAAAATATTCTGTATATTATTTATCATGCATTTTCATTCTGTAAATAATTCCATTAGAAGAGTATATAGCGATCTGTTCTACTGTTGATGGACTTTGATGTTGTTTACATTCAGGTCATAATAATGCTTCTGAGCGTATACTTGTCTTCTGCTTGCACTATTGTGTAAACTTAGAGTGTGGAACTGCTGGATACTAAGACATGTGTATGTTTAACCAGCTTTGGTAAATACTTCTAAACAATTAACCTCACAGCATGATATATTCTAAAGGGAAAATAATATTAATATTTTAAATTACTGAAAAAGCATAAGTAAAGTTGGATGCTGATGGCTCAAGCCTATAATACTCAAATCTGAGGAAAGAGGTTCATAGCCAGCACTCTACCACTTGACCCACAGCTCCACTTCTGGTTTTTGGTGGTTGACTGGAGTCTCACAGAGTTTCCTGCTCAGGCTGGCTTCCACTGAAGAGCTCAGCCTCCTGAGTAGCTGGAATTGCAAGCGTGAGCCACTGGTGCCCAGCTGGGATATCTCCAAAGGATAGCTGTAAGCACCGACTCAGAGAACCATTCCGACACACAGTCTTGTAGGAGAAAGAAGTGTTTAATGTCAGTAGAGGCTGACAGGCTATCTCTTGTGGGATAGAGAGTAGCAAACTGTTCTTGCAGCCTTAGAGATATAGTGACAGGAGTCTGAGGGCAGAAGAAGGGGCTGGAGGGCTGGAAAGTTTTATAATCACAGATGGACTCCGGAGATATCCCACAGCCAGGGCAGCACATTCTATAGCTAGTTCGCAGCCAGGGAAAACATCCCATCACAGAGACAATACATATCTAGCATGTAGCAAAACCAATATATCTTATAGCTGTCATGTAGCCAGGGGAAACATCTTGGAGCAGAGACAATACATTCTATAGTTGGCACCTTGTGATCACACACTTGAACCAGCGTGAGACTGACTAGTATCCAGACTCCATTGCTGATGCACCCGAAGCTGGTGAGAACAGACAACTAGGGCCAGGCCTGGCTTGCAAGGGACCCAGGGCGGGGACTGTCAACCCAAGTGGGGGTGAATAAGCTTATAATAGCAGTGGTGGAAAATTCTCCCAGAATCAGAACTTCTAGGAGGGTACCTCTTTTGGTGGTCATTTCTTTGCAACTGGAATCCATAAGATTATAAACCTGGAGGGAAAATGAAGCAGCAGCCACCCACCGGTTGCTACTCAGGACGCTGAGATCTGAGGATTGTCCTTCAAAACCAGCCCGAACAGGAGTCTCCGTGAAACTCTAACCTCCAACCACTAGAAAACAGGCAGTGGCATGGTGGTTCAGAGTGATAGAGCGCTAATCTGGAGCAGAAGAGGGCAGGGACAGTGGCCCATAGTTTGATTTCAGTTCCTGTGACAGACATAAAAGCAGCAGGGTCATTCAAGGACACAAAATTCCATGAAACAAGTGAACCTACAACTGGCACAGAGGAGGGCACTCACCACTAATACCCCGTGTATTAAACACCAAGCTAGACAGTGAGGGCCAGGGTGCTCTGACAAGGAGAATCAAGCCGTGCTTCATTCCAAAACGACTCTAGTCAACATATGTATTGATGGAAGGCTTCCTAGACAGATACACTTTCAGGAAAACATTCCTTCAATAGACAACCTCCTCAGTCCCAAATTTAAACCTAGAACAGCAGAAGTGAGAAGGAAGCTTTCCGCACGACCTGGTTCATATCACTAAATTACAAGCTTCCTTTAGCGCCAGCATGGGGACGCAAGCTAGCCCTTGGGAGGCAAAGGCAGGATGCTGTGCTGGTTTAGCTCTGCAAAACCAGATCCCTTCTCCAAGAAACCGAGACGTCTCCCATGACGGGAGGCCGTGGCGGCACCGTGACAAGCTGGCAGTGCTGGGTCCCCACGCGTCTCCTCCTCAGGTATTCACAGGCCTGAGCCCCGCTGGCGACGCGTCTCGTCTCCAGTAACGTAGAAACCAACATTCCAAACCTGACAAGTAGAACTTGGAAGGGAAACCGTCGTCCAGGTTCAAAAGAGGCCCGGAGGTCTCTGGGAAGTGTAGTCCGAGACCCTAAAAGCCCGGATGTACAGGCAGCGCGCGCATCCGTAGCTAACGGCGTGGAGGAACGCAGCGTCCCACCCACCCCACACCCCCGGAGATTTCTGGGAGGGTAGGCCCCGCAGGCGTGGGCTGCTAGACCGCCAGGCTCGGCGCCGCCAAGGGGGCAGAGGCTGGGACGTCCTGCCCGGGAGGCGGGAAGTTGGAGCCTGGGCTGCGGAAGGCGAGCTGGGAAAAGGGGCCTGGGCCGGAGGAGAGCCACAGCCTCCAAGCGGAGACGCGGAGAAGCTCGGCGGAGGAAAGCAGCGCGAGCACCGTCCTGGACGGGGACGCGGCCGGGGCTGGCGAGGGCTCGGCCGGGGGAATTTTCTTGGGCCCCTCGGGGTGCGGGCAGCTGGGCACTCGGCTGCGGTGCCCGCTGGTGCCCGTCCTTGTGTGCTGGCAGAAGAGGGCCACTTCCTGCGGCGTGGGACACACCGCGCGCGGTCTGCGTGTCCGAGGCCGCCGGCGCGTGGCCGGGACCTGCGAGCCTGCGCGGGCGTGGCGGTGAAGCCCCCGTGACAGTGTGAGTACGGCCCACGGAGCGTGGCCACTTCACTGCCACTGAGACGCAGAGCTGGGGCCGACGGGCCAGGGGTGCCTCGTTTAGATGCTGTCGGCATTGGACCCTGTATATGCCCGTGCTGTTTGTGACATTTGGACAAGTAAAATAAGCGTTTCTGTGATGAAGAGGGGCAGCTAAAATGATTTTCATATTGTAGCATTATATATTGGAAACCCATATTGACTGATAAGCAGAAATGAATGGATTACCATTGGGAACTCACATTAAAACAACAGACACTCCCCAAACTCGTTTGAAGTCACATTTCCTCCCTTTCAATGATTTCTTAGGCTTTTTTTTTTCTTAGTATATATCCCAGGCTGGCCTCAAACACGTGATCCTTCTGTCTCTGTCTACCCAGTGCTGGGATGATAGGGATACACTGCAATATACCTGACTCGACATTCTTTATTCTTTCTTTTTTCTGCTGGGCATGGGGCTTGAACTCTGGGTCTGGGTACTGTCCCTGAGCACCTTTTGCTCAAGGCTAGCACTCTACCACTTGAGTCACAGCCACTTTTGGCTTTTTCTGTGATGAACTGGAGATGAGAGTCTCACAGACTTTTCTGCCCATGCTGGCTTCAAACAAATCCTCAGATTTCTAGTCTCCTGAGTAGCTAGGATTACAGCATGGGCCACCAGTCCCCAACTCAAGACATTCTTTTTTTCCCCAGTCGTGGGGCTTGAACTCTGGGCCTGGGCACTGTTCCTGAGCTCTTCAGCAGAAAGTAAGCACTCTACCACTTGAGCTACAGCAGCACTTCTGGCTGTTTCTGCTTATGTGGTGCTGAGGAATTGAACCAAGGGCCTCATGCATGCAAGGCAAGCACTATACCACTGAGCCATCTTCCCAGCCCCTTAAAATAATACTGAAAAAAAAAAATTTCAGCTGGGCACAAGTGGCTCACGCCTATAATCCTAGTTACTCAAAAGGCTGAGATCTGAGGAGCACAGTTCAAAGCCAGCCTGGGCAGGAAAGTCCATGAGACTTATCTCCAATTCACCACCAGAAAACCAGAAAGTAGCATTATGGCTTAAAGTAGTAGAGTGTTAGACTTGAGCTGAAGAGCTCAGCGACAGCGCCCAGGTCCAGGCCTATCACCATCACTACCACCCCCACCCCCCACCCCCCAAAAAAATCACCTTAGCTGGGCACTGGTGGCTCACACCTGTAATCCTTGCTACTCAGGAGGCTGAGATCTGAGGATCACAGTTCAAAGCCAGCCCGGGCAGGAAAGTCCTTGAGACTCTTATCTCCAATAAACCACTAGAAAACCGGAAGTGGCGCTGTGGCTCCAGCACTCTATGCTCACCTTGAGCTGAAGAGCACAGGAACAGCGCCCAAGCCCAGAGTTTAAGCCCCACGACTGACCAAAAAAAAAAAAAAATCCCCTTTACACAATTAAAAAAAAATTTAAAGCATTTCAGATACTTACACGGGAAGATAATCTCGCAATAATCACTTAGCTGACTAAAGTGTTCATTATAAAAAGTAAACTTGTTTTAAAAGCCTGTGTTGTGAAAGGGTATATTTACATGATCATATTTTCTCTTAATTCTCAAACCTCAGTTTTCTCTCCTCCTTACTCCTATAGGTGAGTAGTCTCCAGCTCCAATGGATTAGGTACTGGGAAAGAGAAAAATCCAAAATCAGGACAAGTTGAAGTCAACAGAACTAGTGATGCTGTAATGTATAAGTCCTGCCTTTTACCTTCTGAGAACTTGCTATTGGGAAGTTATATTGGGAACCTACTTCTGGGAACCTGCAGATATACCTTCCTTGTCATGGGCACAGTGTCTCCTCCACCCACTGTTCCCAGCATGCACTGCCCACCTGCTCTGATGGATCTCAGTTATACAGTCACTCTTCTTGGATAGGATCCAAAACAACACAAACAGCCTCCATCCATGGCTTCATGGTCTTCTCAGGTAAGAATTACTTACCTTTAGCCATGTGCCAGTGCTCATGCCTGTAATACCACCGAGACACCTTCCCAGCTCCTGAGCTTTCTTCTTATTTATTGCCAGTCCTAGAGCTTGAATTGAGGGTCTGTGCACTGTCCCTAGCTTCTTTTGCTCAAGGCTAGCCTCTACCGCTTAAGCCACAGTGCCACTTCTGGCGTTTTCTGTTTATGTGACACTGAGGAATGGAACCCAGGGCTTCATGCATGCTAGTCAAGCACTCTACCGCTAAGCCACCTTCCTAGCCCTGTTTTTTTTTTGGGGGGGGTGAGGGAGTTTGAGGGTTGTTTTGTTAGTCCGTTGTGGGGCTTGAACTCAGGGTCTGTGCACTATCCCTGAGCCTCTTTGTGCTCAAGGCTAGTGCTCTACCACTTGAACCATAGTGCCACTTCTGTTTTTTGAGTGGTTAATTGGAGTAAGAGTCTCCTGGAGACTTTTTTGCCCAGGCTGGCTTGGAACCATGATCCTCAAATCTCAGTCTCTTGAGTTGCTAGGATTACAGGCGTGAGCCACCTGCAGCACCTGGCTAAGATAGTGGTTTTGCTGGAAGGTGGAAGTATAAAACAGATTATTGAATATCTGGCACTAATCTAAGGAGCAAACAATTTTTTAAATTTGTTTATTTGGTGCTAGGGATTGATCTTGGACCTTTGTACATAGTAAACAAAGACTTTACTACTGAGCTATATCCTTAGCTCCTAAATATCTTTTAAAAACCTGCCTACCTTGTTGCAGCTTTGGGTGTCAAATTCAAGGACTTGCTCTATCCTTTGTAGTTTCTCATGAGAAAAAGTCACATGAGAAACTATAAAAACTTCTAACTTATACCATAAGCAAAAGAATTTTCTTCTTTTATAAAAGATATAGTAATAATCTAGAAAATAACCTAATTTTAAAAACCAGATTGCCTATTGACAGTCAAGAACTAGAGACAAGGCTGGGAAGGTGGCTTAGTGGTAGAGCGCTTGCCTTGCATGCCTGAGGCCCTGGGTTCCATTCCTCAGCACCAAATAAGCAAAAAGAAAAAAGCCGGAAGTGGTGCTGTGGCTCAAGTGGTAGCGCGCTAGCCTTGAGCGGAAGAGCTGAGGGACAGCGCCCAGGCCCAGAGTTCAGGCCCCATGACCGGACCCAAAAAAAAAAAACCAAAAAAAAAAACAACTAGAGACAAGATGCTATCTTATCTTAGAAAACTAAAAATTAGAATCACAATTTATTAGGCAAATAGAAAAATGTTCATGTCAGTAATGTTTCTCATTGAGGGGGAGGCAGGTTGTTTGTTTCTTTGGCCAGTGGTGGGGCTTGAACTCAGGGCCTGGGCACAATCCCTGAGCCTCTTTTGCTCAAGGCTACCACTCTACTACTTGAGACACAGAGCCGCTTCTAGCTTTTTCTGTTTATATGGTACTGAGGAGTCAAACCCAGGGCTTCATGCATGCTAGGCAAGCACTGTACCACTAAGCCACATTCCCAGCCCAGGGACAGGTATTTTTTGTTGGTCATGGGGCTTGAACTCTGGGCCCGGGTGCTGTCCCTCAGCTCTTCAGCTCAAGCCTAGCGCTCTACCACTTGAGCCACAGCGCCACTTCGCTTTTCTGAGTGGTTTATTGGAGATGAGTCTCACAGACTTTCCTGCCCGGGCTGGCTTTGAACTGCGATCCTCAGATCTCAGCCTCCCGAGTAGCTAGGATTACAGGCATGAACCCCCAGTGCCCCCAGCAGAGGTAATTTGAACTGAGGTTAACTGTAAGTCACAAGAAAGGCATAAGGTGCTTGTAGTCTCATGTGGTTTCTTTCCTGGTTTGGCTTTGCCCTTGTAGGAACTGCCCCTTTTCTAAAGAGGAGCCCAAAGGCAAGGCTGGTCATCTCTTGCAGATCTCAAAACCATGGCTCAGGTAAGGTGATAGTTATCCTTTGTGAAAGATTCTTGGTTTTGTTTTTTTAAAGGCAATTTGGGTATTTGCCTTTCTTGTCCTAAATCCTCTCAGCAATCTTCCCGTTCAGAAAACTGGTCTTCATTTTTTCCTTACTCAGTCTCTTCCAAAAACTATGCTAGGATAAAAATATATTTCCTTGAATTGATAAAAATACATTAGCAAATTTACCTGTTTTATGCAAATAAAATGTAAAAAGACATTTTTGTCTGTTGCTAAGCCTTTGTCGTAGCAACAGATCTGAGTGAAGATGGAGGTAAAACTTGGGAGTGCTATTAGCTAATACTCGAGGCTTTGAGGCCTTAACTTGCACAAAGACATGAGAATCCTAGTTCTACTCTGTGCTCCTTCAGTCTTAGTCATAGTTCCTAAAAATCTGTGGCCTTCCAATTCCATCTTTCCTGGTACATTGATTGTATTACAGATTTGCTCCTAGGTTTTTATTTCATTTAATTTTGTATTTGGTTCTGGGGTTTGAACTAGGGCCTCAAGCCCTTGCCATGGCCTTTGTACTTTCAGCTAGCAAACTATTTGAGCCACATCTTCATTTTGATGGTTGATAATTGTGAACTTTTCTGCTCAGCCTCATGAATAGCTAGGATTACAAACGAGCAACCAGCGCTGCTTCACTGTCTTAATTTGTTCTCTTCATTTATTTTACTGTTTAGTTGTACAAAGAGGTTTCAGTTCATCTTTAAGTTTTTTATATGTCCTTGTTATCTAGTATATGTAGGAAGTACTGTTGATCTTTTTTATATACTGTTTTTCCTAATCTATTTAACTAGACTGTTTGCAGGATACTATCTAGGAGTTCACTCAACATTTCAGCAATTATATTTTTTTGATTCATAACTTTGTAAAGCACTCTACACTGAGCTACATCCACAATCTCAAAGTCTGTGCTAACATATCTCTACCCACCCCAGCTTTCCAATGCTAAGTAGAAAATTGTGTCTTTTCCTGTCCTTTTCTTTTAACCTCTTTTCATCTTTGGCTTTTTTTTTTTTGGTCGGTCGTGGGGCTTGAACTCTGGGCCTGAGTGCTGTCCCTCAGCTCTTCAGCTCAAGGCCAGCGCTCTACCACTTGATACACAGCACCACTTCTGATTTTCTGGTAGTTTACTGGAGATGAGTCTCATGGACTTTCTTACCCAGGTTGGCTTTGAACTCTGATCCTCAGATCTCAGCCTCCTTAGAAGCTAGGATTATAGGCATGAGCCACCGACGCCAGGCTTCCTATACAAGTTTTCATCGAATGTCTCCAAGTAGCAGGCCAACAGTGGTCCCCAAAGTGTAGTCACCCTGTTCTATCTTCAATTCTAATCCTGTACTACAGAGACTCCTGTCCTTTAAGGATGTGACTGTGGACTTTACTCGGGAGGAGTGGCAGCACTTAGATTCTGCTCAGAAGACTCTATATATGGAGGTGATGTTGGAAAACTATTGCCACCTCATCTCTGTGGGTAAGAAATTTGTTGTTCTTGTTGGTTGTGGTGCCAGAACTCAGGGCTTGGGAGCTGTCTCTGAACCTCTTTGTGCTGAAGGCTGGCACTCTACCACTTGACCCACAGTACCACTTCCATATCTTGAGTGGTAATTGGAGATGAATCTCAAAGGGACTTTCTTCCCAGGCAGAAAAGTGTTTTTGTGTGTGTGTGTGTGGAACTTGGGACCAGGGTCTAACACAGGCTAGGCAAACCTTCCTAATACTTGAATACACCAGTCCTGTTGTTTGTACTTTGTTTTGAAATGGGGTCTTACTATTTTTCTCAGGCTGGTCACAAACAGTTTTCCAGCTCTCTCCTCCTATATGTCCTGATAGCTAGGGCAACAGATATTACCACCACACTTGGTGAGAGATTCTCTTGATTACTCTTTCAGCATTCATTCTCTCTCCTAGTGTGATTTGAGTTTCAGGGGTGAAAAAGTGATATATTCACTTACCTGGTGCTGAGTTTACTTTTTATTTTATTTATTTTTGCCAGACCTGGGGCTTGAACTTAGGGCCTGTGCACTGTCCCTGAGCTTCTTTTGCTCAAGGCTACCCCTCTACCACTTGAGCCATAGTGCCACTTCCAGCCTTTTCTGTTTATGTGGTACTGAAGAATCAAACCCAGGGCTTCATGCATGCTAGGCAAGCACTGTACCACTATGCCACATTCCCAGTCCTGAGTTTGTTTATTTTTCGGTCGTGGGGCTTGAACTCTGTGCTTGGGCGCTGTCCCTGTGCTCTTCAGCTCAAGGCAAGCGCTCTACTGCTTGAGCTATAGTGCCACTTCCAGTTTCCTTTTTCTTTTCTTTTTTCTGGGTCTGGTCATGGGGCCTGAACTTTGGGCCTGGGTGCTGTCCCTCAGCTCTTCAGCTCAAGGCCAGCACTCTACCACTTGAGCCACAGCACCACTTCTGGCTTTTTTTTTTCTGCTTATGTGGTGCTGAGGAATCGAACCCAGGGCCTCAAGCATGCAAGGCGAGCACTCTACCACTGAGCCACCTTCCCAGCCCTCACTTCTGGTTTTCTAGTGGTTTATTGGAGATAAGAATCTCAAGAACTTTACTGTCTGGGCTTTGAACCATGATCCTCATATCTCAGCTTCCTGAGTAGCTAGGATGACAGGCGTGAGCCACCAGTACCCGGCCTGAGTTTATTTTTATAACAAATGAAAACCATCATCTATATTACCCAAACATCTAACTCCATCTCTGCTAACTCTTCTGATTAGCTATATCCCAGCTATATCTACTTATCTTTCAGACTTTTTTTATTTTGGAGGGGGGACAGTGCTAGTACTGGAACTTGAAGTTAGGCCCTGACTGCTGTCCCTTATTTTTTACTTAAGGGGCAGCATTTGAGCCACAGCTTCACCTCCAGCTTCTTGCTGGTTACCGGAAGAGTCTCACAAACTTTCCTGCTGGGGTTGGCTTCAAACCACAATCCTCAAATCTCAGACTCCTCAGTAGCTAAGATTACAGGCACGAACCACTAACACCTGGCCATCTTTGAGATATTGAACCTTAACCAGCTAAAAAGTCTTCTTATCCCTTATCAGGGTGTGACCTGACCAAACCTGATGTGATCCTCAAACTGGAGCGAGGGGAAGAGCCATGGACAGCATTTACAGGTCATGCCTGCTTAGGTAAGTTTCTTTCATGTAAAAATGGATTCATGCTTTTTTGTAGAGTTTTCCTATAAAGATGTTTCACGTTATGTAGTTCTTCCTTTTACTCTCAAGATTTATTTTCTATGAACTTTTCCTTGAATCTTTCCCTTTCTCAACTCCTTGCTATCTATTGGCAGTAGTGTATGCATACGCATACACAGAGTTCTTGGATATGTTCATAGAATTTGATGCCTGATTTTGTTGTTATTGTTGTTTTGGCCGGTTGTGGGGCTTGAACTCTGGGCTTGGACGCTATCCCTGCACTCTTCAGCTCAAGGCAAGCTTACTGCTTGAGCCACAGAGCCACTCTCGGTTTTCTAATGGTTTATTGGAGATAAGAGTCTCATGGAAGCCGGGCTCACGCCTGTAATCCTAGCTACTCAGGAGGCTGAAATCTGAGGATTGCGGTTCAAAGCCAGCCCTGGCAGGAGAGACCGTGAGACTTCTATCTCAATAAACCACCAGAAAACCGGAAGTGGCGCTGTAGCTCAAGTGGTAGAGCGCTCGCCTTGAACTAAAGAGCTGAGGGCTCCCAGGCCCGGAGTTCAAGCCCCACGACCAACAACAACAAAAAAAAGAGTCTCATGGACTCAGGCTGATGCCTGATTATATATAGTTTATACTTAATTATATATAGTTTATACTTAAAGATTAGCTACTCAGGAGGCTGAGATCTGAGGATTATGGTTCAAAGCCAAAGCCATCCCGGGCATGAAAGTCCATGAGATTCTTATCTCCAATAAACCACTCGAAACCGAAGTGGTGCTGTGGCTCAAGTGGTAGAGTGCTAGCCTTGAGCTGAGGGACAGCGTTCAGGCCCAGAGTTCAAGCCCCATGACCAACCAAAAAACAAAAACAAAAAACATAGATGATCTCCATTCTGCCTCGAATATTTCTCTGAGTAAACATGTCTTCTAATTTTTTTTTGGGGGGAGGGGTCCGGTCGACTCTGGGCCTGGGCGCTGTCCCTCAGCTCTTCACCTCAAGGCTAGCGCTCTACCACTTGAGCCACAGTACTACTTTCGGCTTTTTTTTTTTTTTTGCTTATGTGGTGCTGAGGAATTGAACCCAGGGCCTCATGCATACAAGGCAAGCGCTCTATTGCTGAGCCACCTTCCCAGCCCTCTTCTAATTTTTTTTGTCCTCTTAATTCACAGTTTAATGGACTTGGCAGAGTCAGTTAATTGTTTCTGAATGTTTTTCCAATCATCCATCCATCTTCCACTATTCTGTAACTTCTTGGTTTATTTCTCTGTGAAATTTGGTGGGTATAGAAGGATTGGTAGTAGTCATTGCTTATTTTTATTCTTTTCATATTAAAGCACAGAGGTTTTGTTTGTCTTTCCCTAGAAGAAAACTGGAAAGCTGAAGACTTTTTAATGGAATTCAAGGAGCACCAACATAACTATTCTAGATCAGTTATATGCATTAACCACAAAAGAATGATGAAGGACAAGAGTAACATATATGAAAAGACCTTTCCTCTAGTGGGAAAGCCTGCCCATTCAAAAGCTCCACCTCCAGAATTTACCTCTCATGGAAAGGTTCTGGAAAATGTCTCAGAACTAATCAGCAACCTAAGTCCTGAAAGAAAGAGGTTTACTGAGTCTAACAGGTATGGGAAATCATCCATTTATACTAAGGGAGAGACAACTCATTCTGAAGTCAAGTCTCATAATCATAGTGGCAGGGCTTTTTGTCATAATGACACGTTTCCAAAGTATCAGAAGATAATGACAGTGGCCCAGTCATTTGCATATGATGACTGTGAGAAAACATTCCTTAAAAAGGGAGGCTTACACCCACATAACAGACTATATAATAGAGAGAGAAGAGCAAACAATATTGAAAGAAAACATATGTGCATTCAATGTGGGAAATCCTTTTGCAGGAAGTCAGTATTGATTCTCCATCAGGGAATTCACACAGAAGAAAAGCCCTATCGGTGTCATCAGTGTGGAAATGCATTCAGAAGGAAAGCCTACCTCATTGACCACCAGAGAACTCACACAGGAGAGAAACCCTTTGTCTGTAATGATTGTGGTAAATCCTTCCGCCTAAAGACAGCCCTCACAGATCATCAAAGAACACACACAGGGGAGAAGTCATATGAATGTCCACAGTGTAGAAATGCTTTCAGATTGAAATCACACCTCATTCGTCACCAGAGAACACACACAGGAGAGAAACCATATGAGTGCCATGACTGTGGGAAATCCTTCCGCCAAAAGACAACCCTGTCTTTACATCAGAGGATTCACACCGGGGAGAAACCTTATATCTGTAAAGAATGTGGGAAGTCCTTTCACCAAAAGGCAAACCTTACTGTACACCAGAGGATCCATACAGGGGAAAAGCCCTACATTTGTAATGAATGTGGGAAAGCATTCTCTCAGAAGACAACCCTTGCTCTTCATGAGAAGACCCACAATGAGGAGAAACCCTATATTTGTAGTGAATGTGGAAAGTCCTTCCGCCAGAAGACAACCCTGGTGGCACATCAGAGAACACATACAGGGGAGAAGTCTTACGAATGTCCTCACTGTGGGAAAGCCTTTAGAATGAAATCTTACCTCATTGATCACCACCGAACTCACACAGGAGAAAAGCCATATGAATGTAATGAGTGTGGGAAGTCATTCAGTCAGAAGACAAATCTCAATCTGCACCAGAGAATTCATACAGGAGAGAAACCCTATGTCTGTAATGAATGTGGGAAGTCCTTTCGCCAGAAGGCAACCCTCACTGTACATCAGAAAATACATACAGGCCAGAAGGCCTATGAATGTCCTCATTGTGAAAAAGCCTTCAGTAGGAAGTCCTACCTCATTCATCATCAAAGAACTCACATAGGAGAGAAACCATATAAATGTAATGAATGTGGAAAGTGCTTCCGGCAGAAGACAAACCTCATTGTCCATCAAAGAACTCACACAGGTGAGAAGCCCTATGTGTGCAGTGAGTGTGCCAGGTCCTTCAGCTATAAGAGAAACCTCACTGTCCATCAGAAAGCTCATAACGGGGAAGATGTGGAAATCAATGAATGATCTTTTGTGTGAAGTCTAAGATGACTGTAAACCTTTAGTTTTCAATAGATGATTAAACATGTTAATGTAATTTAATCATGTTCCATATCACTTAACTACTGATTGCTAACATAAAATTAATTGAAGTTGATCACTTATGATGCTTATTTTTTATTTTTTGGGGGGTCAGTTGTGGGGCTTGAACACTGGGCATGGGCACTGTCTTTCAGCTCTTCAGCTCAAGGCTAGTGCTCTACCACTTGAGCCACAGCACCACTTCTGGCTTTCTCTGATTATGTGGTGCTGAGGAATCAAAGCCAAGGCCTCATGCATTTAAGGCAAGCACTCTACCACTGAGCCACCTTTCCAACTCAAAGCTTACTTTTAACTGTTCCTACTAATTCAATTGCTTCACTTAAAAAAACATATATGTGGGGCTGGGAAGGTGGCTCAGTGGTAGAGCGCTTGCCTTGCATGCTCAAGGCCCTGGGTTCGATTCCTCAGCACCACATAAGCAAAAAGAAAAAAGCCGGAAGTGGCGCTGTGGCTCAAGTGGTAGAGCGCTAGCCTTGAGCTGAAGAGCTGAGGGACAGCGCCCAGGCCCAGAGTTCAGGCCCCACGACCGGACCCAAAAAACAAACAAACAAACAAAAACATATATGTATATATATGAGCACCTTCCTAGCAAGTTGGAAACCCTGAGCTGAGTTCAATCCCATTGGTAGTTAAAAAAAAAAAGAAGAAAGAAAGCAAAACAAAGGGCTGAAGGCATGGCTCCAGTGTAAAAAGAAAAAAACATATAACATGCAGAGACAAATTTTGAAATGAGGGGCTGGGAAGGTGGCTCAGTGGTAGAGCACTTGCCTTGCATGCCTGAGGCCCTGGGTTCGATTCCTCAGCACCACATAAGCAGAAAAGCTGTAAGTGGCACTATGGCTCAAGTGGTAGAGTGCTAGCCTTGAGCTGAAGAGCTAAGGGACAGCGCCCAGGCAGAGTTCAGGCCCCATGACCTGACCAAAAAAATAAATAAATAAATTTTGAAATGATTATCAGTATTCCCACATTTTTTGAAACATCTTTTTTGTTTTGGTCTGTGTATGTGCTAGTACTGGGGTTTGAATTCAGGCTCTGAGCACTATCCCTTAGCTTTTTCATTCTACCTCTTGATCCACAGCTCTGCTTGCACCTTTTTGGTGGTTCATTGAAAATAGTCTCATTGAAGATAGAGTGTCATTGAAGATAGTCTCTGATGCTAGGGCTGTCTCTGAACCACTTTTACATCTAATCCTAAGAGTATAGGCATGAGCCACTGAACACCCAACAACTTTTTTTTTCTTTTTTTTGTTCCTGTCATGAACTCAGAGCCTGTCCTTGAACTTTTGTGAGCAAGGCTGGTATCACTTGAGCCACAGCTCCACTTCTGCCTTTTTTTGGTTGTTAAATGAGGAGTCTCTCTGATATTGCTTCAAACCATGATACTTGGATTTCAAACTTTTGAGAAGCTAGGATTACAGGTATGAGCCACTGATGTCTGACAATCAACTTCTCATTGCATTCTGTATAATAAACAGTAGTTGTGCAGGTGGTGCCAGTGGTACAGTAGTTGTGCCAGGTGCCAGTGCCTCATGCCTGTAATGCTAGATACTCTGGATGAGATCTGAGGATCACAGTTCAAAGCCAAGTTCAAGCTTCACAAGGGACAAAAAAACAAAACAAAACAAAAACTGTAGTTGGGCCCGACGAGGGTGGCTCACGCCTGTAATCGAGCTACTCAGGAGGTTGAGATCTGAAGATCTCCGTTCAAAGCCAGCCTGTGTAGGAAAGTCTGAACTTTAATCTCCAATTAAACAAGAGAAAACTAAACCGAAAGTGGTGCTGTGGCTCTCACTTTGAGCTGAAGAGCTCACGGCAGAGCCCAGGCCCAGAGTTCAAGCCCCACAACCGACAACAACAACAACAAAAAAAACAAAACCCCAAAACACTATAGTTGCTTATAGCCCCAAAGATCCCATTTCTCTGGTTTATAAAGTTTTGCATGCTTTTAAACTTTGTTAGGTATTTTTATCATACATTAGATTTTTGTGCCCTGTTTCACTGAACATTTCAAAGATTTGTACATTATTGCATGTGGCAGTAGTGTATTTTCATTTTGTACTATTCCATTTTAAGTATATACTTCTATTTATCCTGTTGGTGGATATTTGTATTTTGTCTAGTTTTGTGTAATAATAAAAAAATACTGCTGTATATTTTCTGGCTCAGGTGTTTTGGTATATGCATATGTATTTCTATTGACTTAATATCAAACACTGGGATTTTTCTATCCAAGGATGTAAATCTTTTCAGGGATAGAAGATACTGTCAAGCATCTCAGACCTTTCTTAACTGCACCCATCCTAGAGGGAAAGTTCTTAATGAAATCAGTACAGAAAGGTAGCAGTTACTCAAACTGGCAAATTCTCATTAAAATGAAACCTTGGGGGATGGGATTTTGGCTGATAGAGTGCTTGCATAGCATGAACGCAGACCTGGGTTCAATGTTTCAATATCATATAAACAGAAAAAGCTGGAAGTGGTGTAATAACCCATGGGGGCTCCCCGGTAATCAGCAGGGCCCAATTATCACCAGGGCCCTGTGGCCCGGCTGACTGGAGGGAGTGGAGCATCGAGGGGCTGATGTCACCGCGCCACAGGACTTACTGCTGGAGGGGCGCTGAAAGGGGCATGCTGAGCTTTCAAGACGTGATTGGACAGTCGGCAGCTTGGGGGAGGAGCATGAATGGAAGTTGGAAACCCTTAGGGGGAAAACCATCAGTCCTGTGGGAGTAGTGGGGGAGTGTAGAGAGAGAGCCGCAGAGAGAGAGAGCAGGAGAAGAAGGCAGGCAAGAGGCAGAGCAGGGCAGGCCTATGGAGAGGCCTGCAGAGGAGGAAGGAAAGAAAAGGAAAAGCCTTCCTATTTGGAAGTTTGGAGCTTTGGAGCTCTGGAGGTCTAAGGTTTGGAGGTTTGCAGACTGACTAATAAAGGCAGGGCTTGGAGGTTTGGTGGTCGAGGCTGCTCTTGGTTCTGGGTATCTAGCCCAGGACAAGGCAGGCCCCCTTTCCTGTGTAAATAGTGTAACTTTGTTATCTTTAACCGTGCCTCAATGGATTGTCTCGCTCTTTTCAGGTCATAACTGTGGTGCTGTGGCTCAAGTGGTAGAGTGCTAGCCTTGAGCAAAAAGCTCAGGGACAGTGCCCAAGTCCTGAGTTCAAGTCCCAGGACTGGCAAAAACAAAACAACAACACAGAAATAAGATTCTGGACCACTCTTCTTTGTCAACTATACTTCTACAGTCCGCACAATGTCCAGTGGACACTTGTCACACTCGGCTCAAAGATCCAGCTAAAGGGCAACACCAAGGGGACGACAACACACACACACACACACACACACCCCTGAACGACATCCATTAACAAATAGTAACAACCACATGGAAGTCACAAGACCAATGTTCGAGACCCTAGGAACACTGAACGGACACCTCCCCACGCCACCCCATCACAGCTCAAGTCCTACCCACTCCTGCATGGGCAGGCAGTCAAAGGTCCACAGAATACTACCACATCGCCACAATCCACCAACACCGAACCCAGACACAGAACTGAAGAGGTCTCACCACCTCCAACAGCCATCACCACTGAAACACTCAACAGTGTCCACCATCCCTGAAAACACGGGTCACCACACACGTCACAAGCACTCTGACCCAGCTGTGTCGTCACAAACGTACCCAGGCCCCGCCTCCGTGGGCGGGGCACCGGCCTGGACCGGTCTCAAACACCGCTCACCGCGTCGCAGAGGGTCCCCTCCGGCCCGCACCCTCACCGTCGCTCGGGCCTCCACTCCGGCTCCACCTCCGCCGACCCCACCGGACACGAGCTGCACGCGCGGGCCGCCCCTGACTGGACCGGTGCAGCCCACCGAGGCCTCCTGGAAGAGCGGCTCCGGAGCTACCGGCTGCGAGGCAGCACCACGTGTTCAGCTCCAAACCAGGCAACTGAAGGAGCGATTTCAAGAGACTTGGGGCAGCGAAGCCAACCAAGGCAAAGACTTTCCCCAAGTGCCAGGCTCCAGCCAGAGAGGGAAACCGCGAACTATCAGCTCGTCCTTCTCCCTGAGAAACGTTGTCCAGAAGAAACTGTTACTGCGTGGTTAATACTGGGAAATGTAGTCCAGAACGCCCGTTAACGTGAGCCGCAAGGGCTGCTGGGGAGTGTAGTCCCTGCCATGAACCGAAGTCCAAAACCTGTATCTGGATGGAATTTTGTCAGTGAAAGCTCTCCAAATTCCACCTTAACAGTTTGTTGCTACCGAAGCCCTTCAGTCACTGTCAAATTGTTGGATGCATTCTTTGGTGTGACACCTCATACTTTTACCTTTCCTAGAATGTGGAATCATACACAGCCTTTCCAGAACAATTTCCTTACTATGAATTTCCTCATTGCCTTTTAATGGCTTGGTTACTGACAACTATTGTATTTAGTGCCAGGTTTAACACAGGGCCTGAGAGCTGCCCCTGAGTATTTTCGCGCAAGGCTAGCCTTGGACAGTGTCTAGGCCAAAAACTGGCACAAAAAAATAAAAATTTTCAAAATACTTGGAATGCAACTGCAAACATAAAACATTTGCACCAGGTGCCGGTGAGTCAAGCCTGTAATCCTAGCTACTCAGGAAGCTGATATCTGAGAAAAGGTTCAAAGCCAGCCCAGGCAGAAAAGTCCATGATGCTCATCTCCAATTAGCCACCAGAAACCGGAAGTGGCGCTGTGGCTCAAGTGGTAGAGGGCTTGCCTTGAGCTGAAGTGCTCAGAGACAGCGCCCAGGCCGACACCCCCCCCCCAAAAAAAATTATACAGACACACACACATATTCAATGAAGTTTGCTGTGTACCCTAATGTTTAATGAGAACTAAATTTTTTAAGCTCAATGTTGTAAAATGTTAAGAACTCCCAGGACATAAATATAGTGCATACGTTAAAAGGAAAGAAGCACATTTGGCATTATTTTAATTTTAATAAAATAGATAATTTCATGTTACATAGAGCAAGTCATCCACTCATTGTTGATAAAATTTTAGAAATATTTTCTATAAAAAGTTTAGTATCTGACTGGGAATTAATGAGTTATATCATTTCTACAAGTACAGTTCCCACCCTCAACCCCTTTTTGAGAAAATTTAAAAATACAGAAAAGTACAAAAAATAAGAAGATTATCCATATACCATAATCCAGAATGAGCCAGTATGGTTGTATATTTACTTGCAGTCTTTAAAGAGAAATGAATGAGTCTATGAAAACTGAAGTCCCTCCCCACCCAACTTCCCACACTCCTTCACAGGCCTTCACAAGCTTGGCTGTATCCTTCCAATTCATCTCACTTTTACATACATACATACATACATGAATCGATTACCAATATAAAGAACTAGATTTCATAAAGGAACATATAATTCAAATTTACAAAGTCACTATATATGTAATTTTGCAACATCATTTCAGATGCCTTTGCTCCTAGACATATGGATGTCATTTGTTGCATTTGACAGATGTGTATTTCATCCTGATGACATTTCAGTTGTTTCTATTTATCTACCACTTAAAGTCAAGCCACATCATGTTTTCTGGGATATATATTTCCTGAGCATACAAAAGGAACTGCAAAGATAAACTTTTGGTTGTGGGGATTGAACTCGGCCTGGGTGCTGTCCCTTAGCTCTTCAGCTCAAGGCTAGCACTCTACCACACGAGCCACAGCACCACTTCCAGTTTTCTGGTGGTTTATTAGAGATAACTTGTCTCAGGACTTTCCTGCCTGGGCTGGCTTTGAGCCGTGATCCTCAGATCTCAGCCTTCCTAGTAGCTAGGATTACAGGCATGAGTCACCAGCGCCTGGCTAGCAATGATATTTTTAAATGTTACAAGGAGTTATTTCTACTTCCAAGGTCCTATTTTGGTTGTCAATCTCCATGGATTTGACTTTTATATATAGATCATGATCTATCTCCCCTCCCCCTACTAGAAAAAATATTACCTCCATTAATCAAACATTTTGGGTATTTTCATTTCCCCAAAACCATTTCTTTCATATGCTAAGTTCTCATAAATGCATGGGTCTTTTTCTGCAATCTTTTCTGCCCTATTCTATCAATACAAGATTTTTTTTATGATTTATAGACCATATTTTTGTCTCTCCCCTTCTAATACAGCTTATTTTTCCTATACAACACTAGAAAAGAACTCCAGATGTATGCGGATAGCAACAACAGGGATATTTTCTGGTTTGTGTTTTAGTGGAAATGTGCCTCAGGTTTCAAACATTACCTCTTCTGCTCGCTGTAGGCTTTTCTCGTTGGGCACAGGCTTTTAAATCATACTGATGCCTTTCTCCTCAGTATTTCTCTGCTGTCCCATAACATTTTAGCATTTGCTAATGTTCACCTGACTTGCAGTGCTTTACAACTAAGATGACTTTTTATGATACACTGTGAAGTGTAAGCTCCTGGCCATTACTTTTGCATTTTGAATACACTCAAGAGAGTTCTTTAATGAGTATGAATTTTCTGATGTCTAATGTGGTGTGACTTCTGGCTGAAAGCCTTGCCACACTCACTACATTGGTATGGCTTCTTACCTGTGTGTATTCTCAAGTGCAGAGCTAGAGTAGAGAACTGAGAGAAGGCTTTCCCACACTCATTACACCCGTAGGGTTTCTCACCTGTATGGCTTCTCACATGCACAGTGAGAGAGGAGCTCTGGGAGAAGGCTTTGCCACAAACATTGCATTCATAAGGTTTGTCCCCTGAATGGATTCTCACATGCACGATGAGTGATGTTCGCTGGGAGAAGGCTTTTCCACACTCATTACATTCATAGGGCTTCTCTCCAGTGTGAATGTTTTGATGCTTTATGAGGTACTTCTTCTGGCCAAAAGCTGTTCCACACTCATTACATTTAAAGGGTTTCTCTCCAATATGAATTTTCTCATGCTCGGTAAGGTTTGACTTGCCACTAAAGGTTTTCCCACACTCCTTACATATGAACGGCTTCTCTCCTGTATGAGTTCTCTGGTGTCTGATGAGATTTGATTTCTGAATGAAAGCTTTCCCACAGTCTTTGCACTGGAAAGGTTTCTCTCCAGTGTGAATTTTTTGATGGGTAAGCAGGTTTTCTTTTTGACTAAAGGACTTCCCACAATCGTTACATTCAAAAAGCTTCTCTCCAGTATGAGTGTTCTGGTGCTTAATGACATACTGCTTTTGGCTAAAGGCTTTCCCACATTCATTACACTCGAATGGTTTCTCTCTATTATGAAAATGCTCATGCTCAGTGAGACTTGACTTGTGGCTGAAAATTTTCCCGCATACCTTACAGGCATAGGGGTGCTCCCCGCTACAGATTCTCTGACTGGAGCGGGACATCTGAAAGGAGGCTCTTACAAAGTCACAAGGGTTGTGTACAATAGGATTTTTTTGATGAACAAAGATTTACTCTTGGCTGAAGGTATTTCCACATTTCTTACATTTATAAAGGCTACGTCTGACCTCTCAGCTACATAGTAAGGGACAAGGTTTGAGAGACTTATAAAAGAGTATATTCCAACCTGTCTCTACAGTACAAGTTTCTTACTATTCAATCAAATTTTGCCAGAATCACTGGTTTCTCTCCAGCATGTGTTTTCTGCCACTCAGTGAGAACTGTCATCTAGCTGAGGGCTTTTCACTAATCCTTAGAAGCACAGGGCTTGGCCTCAGCATGACTTCAACACTCAGTAAGATGAGATACGTGAGCACAAGACTTCCTGTGTGTGGAAAATTCATAGGATTTTTCTCTAGTGGGAATGCTCTGTTAGCAGATGGGACACAAAGTTTTTAAACTAAAACTATGTCATTTCCATTCTCCTTTATCCTTACAAAGAGGTTACTACCCTAAGAAGTAGGCTGTGGTAGAGGATTTCTAAACTAATAATACTGCTGATTCTTTCCTATACCTTCTTGCCTATTTATGGATAAAGTGTGCCTCAACCTCAAACATCGAAAAAGTATTGCTTTAAAAAAAAATAGCTGGAGGGCTGGGAAGGTGGCTCAGTGGTAGAGCACTTGCCTTGCATGCATGAGGCCCTGGGTGTGATTCCTCAGCACCACATAAGCAGAAAAAAAAAAAAAGCCGGAAGCAGCACTATGGCAAGTGGTAGAGTGCTAGCCTTGAGCTAAGAGCTGAGGGACAGCGCCCAGGCCCAGAGTTCAGGCCCACAACCAGACTAAAAAAAAAAAAAAAAAAAAGCTGGAGCCGGGCGCTGGTGGCTTACTCCTGTAATCCTAGCTACTCAGGAGGCTGAGATCCGAGGATTGAGATTCAAAGCCAGCCTGGACAGGAAAGTCTGTGAGACTCTTATCTTCAATAAACCACTAGAAAACTGGAAGTGGCACCGTGGCTCAAGCCATAGACTGCTCGCCTTGAGCTGAAGAGCGCAGGGACAGCACCAAGGCCCAGAGTTCCAGCCCCACGACAGACAAAATAAAGAGAGGGAAAAAAAAAAAAAGCTGGGTGCTGGTGGCTAACACCTTTAATCTTAGCTTCTCAGGAGGCTGAGATCTGAGGATTACAGTTCAAAGCCAGCCCAGTTATTAAAGTCCTGGTAAGACTTTTATATCCAATGAACCACTGAAAATCCAAAAGTAGAGCTGTAGCTCAAAGTGGTAGAGCACTAGCCTTGAGCAAAAGAGCTCAGGGACCACACTCAGGCCCTGAGTTCAAGCCCAAAAATGGACAAAAATGAAGAAGCGCTATGCCAGGCCCTGGTGACTCATGCCTATAATCCTAACTACTCAGGAGGCTGAGATCTGAGGATCACAGTTTGAAGCCAGCCTAGGCAATAAAGTCTACAAGGCTCTTATTACAATGAGATACTTAGCGCCAATTAACTATGGGGGGAAAAAATCCAGAAGTGGGCTGCAACTCAAATTGTCATCTTGAGCTTTTAAAAAAGTTGAGGGACAGTACTCAGGCCCTGAGTTTAAGACCCAGAACTAGAACAAAAAATAAAATAAGGCCTGTGAGCAGAAGGATTATTTTACAATTGCCTTATATGCAGTGCTCCTTTTCTCAGTCTGTGCTTTATTGATGATGGATGCAATTTGTCTCCAAGTTCTGCTGTATCTCTAACTGCTCATCATCTTCTCAAGCTTCTTCTGAAATAGAACGCAAAGAACAATAAAGAAATTAGTTGTAAGTGCTCAATACTACAGATGGCACATTGTAACTATTCAACTACTTTGATGTTATCTTTGTTTTTTGTCATGGGCTTGAATGTAAGTCCAGGGCACTGTCCCTGAGCTCTTCAGATCAAGGCTAGCACTCTACCACTTTGAGCCACAGCACCACTTGTGGTTTTTTGGTGGTTCATTGAAGATGAGTGTCTCACAGACTCCCTTGCCCAGGCTGGCTCTGAATCACGATCCACAGATCTCAGCCTCCTGAGTAGCTAGGGAGTATATGCATAAGCTACCATCACCTGGCTTATCAACACTATAATTTGTGGAAATTCCCCATTACCAGCAGTGAAAATAGACTATTTTAGGATAATCAACTGGCAGCTCATCTCCCAGAATGAAACAATGCCTATGACCAATATTTCTGAATAAATTTGAAGAGAATTCTTATAGATATCTGAGTAAACATGGTATTTCTGAGTTTAAAGAAATGTAAAGGACCACTCCTTCATATGAAATGAAAATGTATTGTCCATAGAAATTTAATTAGAAGCACTCCAAACCCAGGGTCGCCTAGCAAATGAAAGGTGGGGAAGAGTTACATGAAATTAACACCAGTAAATAGATTTGTATGATGCCAACTCCATTCCACAGCTATAAAGCCAAAAAATATGTGGGCACTGAGGCATACACACCTATGAGGTATTAAAGGACATGGAGAAACTAAAAGGCACATAAAAACTGAATTCCAATGCCCCCCCCAACACAGATGTCATTTGTATTCATATTTCATAGCCAAAATAGATGACCTGAGCCTGGCAGAGTTCACTTTGTAGAGTAGGACAGTACAATCCTTCTACAGGGAGATGACTGGCCTTCTGTGAGCATTTTATAGTTAACATTAAAGCTTCCCATGCAAGAAGCGCTTACAGTCTGTTTTTGGTGCATCAGCATTAAAAGCTTGTGCAGCAAATATTCCATACACATTTAAGGAATATCACTAAGGTGAAAGATCAAAATATGTAGGAAAGCCAGGAGCCAGTAGCTCACACCTGTAGTATTAGCTACTCAGGAGGCTGAGATCTGAGGATTACAGTTCAAAGCCAATCTGGGCAGGAAAGTCCATGAGACTCTTTATTTCCAATTAACCATCAGAAAACTGAAGTAGTATTGTGTGAGGGCTATAGCCTTGAGCTGAAGAGCTAAGGGACAGCACCCAGGCCCAGAGTGCAAGCCCCATGACCCACTCCCCCCCAAAAAAATAGGAAAAAAGAACCAAAAATGCAACCAGGCCAGATATCAGTGGCTCATGCCTTTAATTCTATTTACTCAGGAGGCTGAGAGCTGAGGATCTGTTTCAAACCAGCCTTGTCAGGAAAGTACAAGAAACTTATCTCTAATTAACCACCAGAAAATCCAAAGTAGGGCAGTGGCTCAAAGTGGTGGAGCACTAGCCTTGAGCAAAAGACCTCAAGGATAGTACCCAAGCCCCAAATTCAAACCCCGTGGCCAACAGAAAGAAAGAAAGAAAGAAAGAAAGAAAGAAAGAAAGAAAGAAAGAAAGAAAGAAAGAAAGAAAGAAAGAAAGAAGGAAGGAAGGAAGGAAGGAAAGGAAGGAAGGAAGGAAGGAAGGAAGGAAGGAAGGAAGGAAGGAAGGAAGGAAGAAAGAAAGGAAGAAA